TGGGGATGTGGCAGCCGTCACCCCACCGGCCCCCTCACTGACCCCAGCCCTGCTCCAACGCCTCCAGCCCTCCCACGCCCGGTGCCACCCAGACCCTGCTCCTGCCCAGCACAGCTCAGCTGGTTTGGGCAAATGTTCAGCAGTGTTGCGGGCAGTCCCTGGCCTCAGGATGTCAGGATGAGGGCAGGATCACACAAGGACTGCAGGGATGCCCGATGGCCACTTCTCCAGCACTCAAGGTGGACCATGTGGGGTAAGGGAACAATAAGAGCCCCAGAAAATGGTGCAACAGCTGCTGCAAGAGGTCCAGGAGACCAGCTCTGCTGGGAGCTGGAGCTACAGGAAGGGGTTAATCACCCACAAGTTCTGTTTTCCCCACTGGCACAAAACATTTCTTCCTCTGAGCTCCAATTGGAGGGAAGAGAAACTTTCTGATGTTGTCTTTGATCTCTCTTCTCAAGCAGAAGGCTTCTACGTTTCCTTCTTGGTGGGGACGGCAGGAAGAGGAGCGCAGGGTGAAGCCGAGTGTGACGGGGGCAGATAAGACAGCACTTCCGCAGCCTGCTCCTCGCAGGACACCCCCATGTGCAGGGAAGGGACGTGGGTTTCTCCTACGCCGCTGCCTCCCCGGGACCCCCAGCCCCGCTGCACACAGCCATGAGGTGGGGGTGCGTGGGCCACAGGCAGTCAGCAGAGGAGGACAGGACCCATCCAACAGGCTTGGCTCCCAAACAGGGATGAGCTGGCTCTGGGACCAACAGGACACAATTATTTATGAGCACTCATTAGGACAGCAGAAGCTGCTGTTTCAGACCCAAATGGAATAAGGTTTTCAGATAAATTCCCTTGCCAGATGAGGCCAGCGCCCATGGGTCATTGCAGACTCTAACGGGAAAACGGTTCCATCCAAAGGCCGGGCGCCAGGGCAGTGCCAGTGCCCTGCCAGACCTTCTCGGCAGGCTGGGCTCCAACTTTTTTTTCCCCTCCGAGCAGCTCCTGCAAGCAGCCGAGCACCACTGTAACCCTCTCGGAGAGCCGTGGTCAGCGTGGTGAGAGCTGTGACACCACCGTGGGCCGACGGGGACCCGCAGCCCTTCCAACGGCTGGGGGCAGCGAGGTGGGGCTCCCAGCGCCGCCGAAGGTGGAAGGTGGTGACGAGGATGCCCGCGGCACCCTGCCCGTTTCCGGCAGGGGAGGAAGCGCGGTGCAGGCCGGGGGG